GATTTTAATTCAAGGTTTGGTATTTGCTCCATATCCAACTTGAGAACTCCAAAAAATGAGACAAATTTCAGGTGACTTGAATGAGAAGATAACAAATAGGCAAGTTGAATTCAATCTGTCTACAATAAATAACATACTAACATCACTTTAACCCAATGTCAAGAGTTATCATTTCAAATTCAAAGACACAACTAAGTAGTCGAATCCAATCCAAAACAATTAAAAATCAAATACTCCAAACAAGAATACCAACATTTTAGAAGCTAGAAGAAGCCAAAAATAAAAAATAATCTTTTTACCAACCTTTAAGTATCTAGCTTCTTACTCTAACCTTATGAGTTCGGCTTGTATCCTATGCTAGTGAAAAGAGCTAAAGCTTAAAGAGACTATGATAGGCACTGAAGAAAGAAGTAGAATGAGGCATGGAGTGATGTAGCAAGCAGAAGTAAAAAAAAAATGACATATCAGAGTGTTAAGAGTGAGATGAGAGTAGGATATGAGAGACAGTAGGGAGAGATAAAAGATGTGTAGCAGATTAGAATATTGATTGTTGAGATCGATGTGCGACAATCGACAGATCAGGGAGGGGAGATCATGAAATCTATGGGAGAAAAAAAGATAAGAAAATGTTGATAGTGTAAAAGATTAAAAGTGAATGGCTATGGTTCAACAAGCAAAAAGAAAATATAAAAAATGGGTGATTATAATTTTTTTAATTATTTATCTTATATTAAATCAGATATTTTGGTTTATTATATTTCAAAATTTAAACCTAAAAACAAACTGTTTTAACCATTTAAACCAAAAGGATAACCAAAAAATTCATATAACTCAAATTAACCGACTCGATTTACTTAAAAACTTTGATTTTATTGGTTTTTTCGATTTTAACCAAATTTTGCTCTCCCCTAACTAGGGGGAATGACAAATTAGAAAAAGTCTCATCAAAATCTTATTTAAATAAGTACAAACAAATGAAATGAATGCATGCAAAAATCCACATACACAAAATTTTTTTTTGCCTTCCAAAAAAGTAAAAATTCACTAACAACAACAAAAAAATTCCATCATTTGAAAATTAAATTGAAAATAAATGTATTTAAGAAAAAAAAAGTAGCAAACCTTCCACGGTGGCAATTTGGAACATAGATAAAGTAGTTCATTCCAAGCGGTCTAGCCCAACATCCTGACCTGAACTTTTAGTTTTCTTCAACTGAGTCACCACTACATTGAGCATAATCCCTCTACCACACCTGATATCAAGTGCTAGCTTCATCGTCAAGCAATTATTAATTGACCCCACCATCCACCGCGCCATGTCATAATGCTATATTGGAAACAACTTCTCAATCTTATCCAAATTCCTTTTTTCCTAACTCTTTTTTTTCCCTTCTTTTCTCTCAATAGTGCCTCGTCTTCCATTTTTTATTGTTTCATCTTTTATCTTCTAGATTCTTCTTTAAACCCTTTTTTCCAAAATATTCCTATCATTTCTTTTTAAATTGTCCTTACAATCATTTTTTTATTAAAATGTTAAGTTGGCCATGAAATTGAGAATTGGGGCACAACTTTAATATAATCTTATAGATATGAGTTTATTTTGGTCTTGATCTTTTTAATTTCAAACAAGCTATTTCGAAATTGAAATATCTCCAATTATTTTGGATTAAAAACATTTCAGTTTTAATTTATTATTTCAAGTTAGATTCTTATAAAGATCATTTTTGTTGATTTTTCTAATTTAAAATTTAATTTTTTACAAGTTTCAGATCGATTTTGGGATTGTGTCATAGTGGTTTTAAATGACTTTAGCTTCCTATGGTTTTTAATTCAGATTGTTTTGAATTTGAATTTATTATAAATTTAGATTTTTAATGCAAATGTTTGATTTTTCAAAACCAATTTGGATTGAATTGAATCTTTACGAGAAAGGAAGCTGAAATCCATGGACTTAGGGCCCAAAGCCCTAATAAAAACGTCAAGGTCGTTGGGTCCTATTCAGAAATTGGCTCGAATATCCAATGCACCTATTTACATGCTAGGTTCGGCCTGCGCAAACAACGCCGGCGACAATTTGAGAGATGGTACTTCCACCCGTGGTTTTAGTATAACCATGGTCACGGTCATGGTCATGGAAAAGCTCCCTTGGGCAACAGCCAGCCACCCAGGAACAAGAATAACAAGGTCCCATGATGCGTAGGCCATTGATATCCACAGCCACATTAGAAGACAGGGCCATACCGACTCCGAATTGATTAAACTAATCCATTTATTAATTAGCAATTTTCTTCTGTTTTCACAATATTCCTCTAATTATTGAAAATTCAAAGGATGAAGTCTAGTCGGCTGTTAAAGGTTACGGCGAGCGAGAGGGTAAAGGATTAAAGAAAACGCAGTGCCCTAAAACACAATGTCAGAAAGACAATATGGGATTTAACTCGAGGTGGGTGTCAGTTGAGAAAAAAACATTCCCAACGTTCGGTCGGCCGTACCATACCCAAAATTTTTAGCCCTGAAAAATAGGAGGGTCCAAGCGGCCAAGCCGAACCGCGCCCACAAAAATAATAGAGATGTCACTTCTAATAACAGATCCCATCAGAAAGCCATGCCAAGCGATTTTTCATGGATTAGGGTTTCAACTACTTTGTTTGGTTTTATGATTAACCCGACCGACAGTATTACCATTCGTAACCACCGACACAAACCAGTTGCAATAGCAAAGTAACACATAAGAATCTAATCATTAGATTTTTTGGCTCCTTGTTCCTGTTCAGATTAACCCCTCAACAGTTTTTCTCTTCGCTTGTTTTTTTCATCCGTTAACAAAAGAAATATTTTTAAAGGCAATATCAGCCACGACGAGAAACTTTAGTGGCGACTAGTCCTGAGATTAAAAAAAAAATTATGGTGAATTTATCTTTTTTGCCGATTTAGTAATTTGGAGCAGTATACCTAACAACATTTGAAAGATTTGTGAAATATAATTCTAGTTAATCTTGTTATATTTTATGCATATTTTTAATTTTATCAAATAAAAAATAAAACATGTGTTCAATAAAACAAAAAATAATAAAATGTAATTATTTAAAATTCCTTTAAAATGAAAATTTTAAAAATACTCGCTAGCGACAACTTTTTAAATTGTTCCCATTGTCAAGAAGAATTAAAGCTTGATATTTTTAAGTTTCAGTTTCAAGTATTATCATTTGTGTTCTGATTCAATTTTTCATTTAACTTTGTATTATATTAATTTATTGGTTAGTTTTTTATGTTTGATTTATTATTTATTTTTTAAGCTCCATTTGATTGGTGTTTTTATAAGTTTTATTTTTTATTTGTCCCTTATTATTATTTATTATTTATTATTTTTTTATTAAAATAAAAACACCAACCAAACACAGTCTTATTATAATTTTTACTTGTAATTTCATTAAAAAAAAAAAAACTTAAAATCTTTTTCCATTTTGGGTCCCTTTTGGTGGAAGGTTAGGTGGATCCTGGCCTCCTAGTTCTATTATCTTGCAATTAAACAGATGTAGTTTGTGTGTTGGAAAATATTTTTATGTTTTATATGATAATATTGTAAATTAAGCTGGCATTTTCTACTTATAAGCAAAAGAAACACTACAATAATGCTTGTCATAATTCTGAGCTGTAGGGACATGACATGCACATGGCTCCATTTATGTTGAATTATGACCCCTCCTACACAAACACTTATTTTATTTATTTTATAATTATAAAACTTAGGCTTACCTATATAAATAAGTATGACATAAAATCAAGTTTAATTGGTTAACCTGTTGATTGAGGGAACAGGGAAGAATCACTTTGCTGACTTTTATTGATATTCTATGTGTTGAAAATTTAATGTAACGTTTGATTCCAGGAAAGCAAGCACTGGCAGGAATAGTTTTGGTATAGTTTTGGTATATATTCAAATACCAACAATGAAATTTTATATTTCTATCAACAAAGGGCTGGTTTTGTCAATTACTTGATTGTTTTGTATTGGCCGTAAGAAGTCATGGATTATTCAAATACCCAGATTTCCTCTTGAGGTCAATTGAAGAAGATTGGATAACTTCAATCACTTTTAGAAGAACTCCAGCGTGTTCCTTCTGCTCTTCTTATTAATACTTTTCCCACGTATATACAAAGGACGACATAGTCTATGGAGATAAAAAAAAAATGATTGTGGATATTAAAATTAAAATTAAAAATTTTAATTTATTAAATATCATTTTTAAAAATAATTATATAAATTAATTGAATTGAATTTCAAATTTTTTTAATGTATATACATATATTGTACACTTGTGATGAATTCGTTTACCTACCTAGAAAATGTCCAATTGTAAATCAGATAATTTAGAAGATATGGAATTTCGTGATTGGTGTTTTTGCATGTGGATAACCGTTTTAAAAACAAGAAGGAAATTCCCAAAATATTGGTAGTTTGGCACCGTCATTCATTCATACGTGATTTTGTTGCTTTCAAAGTTTTTGACCAATGGAACATGGTTGAAGAGGCTTAGAGTTTCCACTTCACAACCGTGAATAAACCAGCCAGATATATTAAAAAATTGGAGTGTCAAATTTGCAAACAAAAAGGAGATCAAGACCCAACCATGTATTTTTTTTTTGTTTCAAAAATGTCTTTATGTTAAATTTCTTAATTAATTTTTAACAAATTATCTTTCTAACTTTTCATACACCTATATTTATTTCTTCTTCTCTTTAAGTTTTTGAATTTATATTTTCAGAAAATTTAAAAAGTTTTTAAATTTATATCTTTGAAAATTTCTACAAACTCTTAAAAATACAAAGTTTTATATTTGCATTTCCAGATGTGTAATGAGTAAAAATTACACTTAAATTTTGTATTTGTAATATAAATAATGATTGTGTATAAGAAAAAAAAAATTGGGTTGTGAATGGAAGTTCAATTGGTAAATTAATGGCTAAGAATAGGAAGCCGAGGAGTATAAGGTGTTAAGCATCAGTGCCAAAAGGAAAAAAACACTGTGTCGGTATGAGTGTGACCCCCATTTGACCCATACCTCTTTTTTCTTTTCTCTTCTTTTCTTGAGGAATAATCAAAATTGTCCCTACAGAATTTTACATTACATTCACAAAGATTGCTATCACCGCCACGAACCGACACCAAAATGGGGAAGGAAGCGGCGCCCTCCTCCGCCCCTTCCAACGCCTCCACCGTTGGGAAGCTATTCGTTTGCTTTGAAACAAAACCATTAGGTGCCACATTGCTAGCTCTCACCTTAGTTATGCTTCTCTGGAACCTTCCTCCTTACTACCAAAACCTCCTCTCCACCACCCGTCCCTGCTCTGCCCCTCCTGTGACTTCCGTCGCCGCGGCCACGTCCAATTTACTCTCTAACAATGCTTCACGCCCTTATACAGCCACTCCAGTAGCTGAAAAGAAGTACTCCTCGGCTCCTAAAGCTAAACCCAGTGACCCAAATAAGCGAGTGTTCGAGGCTTACGGTAACGCGGCTGCTTTATTTGTGCAGATGGGTACGTACAGAGGCGGTCCTACAACGTTCGCGGTGGTGGGATTGGCGTCGAAGCCCATTCTTGTGTTCGGTCGGCCGTGGTATAAATGCGAGTGGATCTCAAATAACGGGTCTTCTTTCAGGGCCAAGGCCTATAAAATGCTTCCAGATTGGGGTATGGGCGTGTCTACACCGTGGTGGTGGTGAATTGCACCTTCCATTTTAACCCAAACCAAGACAACCTTGGTGGGAAGCTGATGGTCAACGCCTACTACGGGGAGTCCCAAAGGAAGTACGAGAAATTCACGGCCTTGGAGGAGGCCCCTGGATCTTACAATGAGGCCAAGTACCGCCCACCTTTTCAGTACGAATATTTGTACTGTGGGTCATCTCTATATGGGAACCTCAGTGCTGACAGGATGAGAGAATGGATGGCTTACCATGCCTGGTTCTTTGGACCAAGCTCCCATTTCGTGTTTCATGATGCGGGTGGGGTCACGCCCGAGGTCATGGCAGCGCTCGACCCTTGGGTGCGAGCCGGGAGGGCTACGGTGCAGGACATCCGAGGCCAGGCGGGATTCGATGGGTATTATTATAATCAGTTTTTGGTGGTGAACGATTGTCTGCATCGCTATCGACACGCTGCCAATTGGACTTTCTACTTCGATGTGGACGAGTATATCTATTTGCCTGATGGGAATACTCTGGAATCGGTGTTGAATGAGTTCTCCGATTATACACAGTTTACCATTGAGCAGAATCCAATGTCCAATGTGCTCTGCTTGAATGATTCCTCCCAACAATATTCCAAGTAATCTCATCATTCACCACCTCAATTAGATTTCTCCATATGTTCATTTTCTCTTAAAAAAACTTACAATATTTCTGTGAGAGATTAAGGAGAGGTCTTTCTGGATTTGAATATGCTTAATTAGGACCAAAAAAGAAAAAAGAAGTCACAATTTATTTGTTCGAAAAGAAATGGAACTCATTTGAACATTTGGTTCAATTGCAATTTGTCCAATGTTGTAGAGATTATAAAAGTGTTCATGTTATTTCTTTCATATATTTTGGCAGGCAATGGGGATTCGAGAAACTACTCTTCAGGGAATCAAGAACCAGAATTCGACGTGACAGGAAATATGCAATTCAGGCGAAGAATGCCTATGCAACAGGAGTGCACATGTCGGAGAATGTGATTGGGAAGACATTACACAAGACAGAAACAAAGATTCGTTATTATCACTATCACAACACGATAACCGAACACCAAGAGCTATGCAGGGAGTACCTCCCCCTCTCTGCCAAGAACAATGTCACTTGGTTCAATAAGCTACCCTATGTGTACGATGATAATATGAAGAACCTCGCCAACACCATCAAGGAATTCGAGCGCAATACCATTGGAAACCTACGCCTTAACTGATGATCTTATGACCCTTACTGTGCCTGCAGCTACCACGTAATCATCCACGTGTCCAACACCGCAGTTTAATGCGATAATGGTTGAGCAGTCAGGGTCACTTCTGATTTGGGTTGCTCAAATTTTACTCTTCTTTCCTGCCGGGTATCTGACCGCACCCATCGCTACCTGTGACGAGAAACTCAGGGAAAAAGCAGGAAGGCGGCCCCGATATTGTTTTGATTTGTCTGTAAAGGTGAGTGTTTTACTTGTACCATTCCCACAACCCCACCCCCCTTCCTTCCCCACCCCTTAATAATTTAATTTGATTCTATATCTCTAGCGGAATACTTGTAAAATTGTTTCTTTGCATTTTTATGTTATTGCTTTATAGATTCATGCCAGTAATATAATATAAAACATCTAATAATGCTTGGTTGTCAAATCATAAATAGAGATGGTTCTGTTATTTTTTCTTTTCCAAGTAAAAGTTGCATCAACTAAATCACAAAGGACCGTGAAATGTAAATTTTGATATAAGACTTTCTATGATGATTATTTACATCATAGAAAGCCCCGTTTTCTTGTAGAGTATTCCATCTGCAGCTATTACGTTTCGCCTTTACAAGCTGAGAATGATAAATTGATAATAAATCATCTTTTCAGCTGGTATCTTGCTAATTTAGGTTATATTTGAAGTATAAATTTGATGGATAGAATAGGACGATGGTTATCTTATGTTAAGTTCGGTTTGTATTTGAAAAAAAGAATAAAATTCTAAAGAAGATTAATCATTCAGAAGATGATTGTAATTATTAAAAATTGAGAGAAATATGTTTTAGTGGGTACCATTATGAGGGTAAACTTATCTTAAAATAATTCTGAATATTACCTTTAGTGATAAATTTTTTTTACTATTTTGACTGAGATTCAAATCGTTTCACAAGGTAACGATCTAACCAATTTAAGATCTCACAAATGATTTTTTAGTTATTATCAAACATCATAATCTAATTAAGATAGATACATCATTAAATTTTTTTTTTATATACAAAAGAGATTATAATTTAAAAATAAAAAATTACAGATATTAAAATTTAAATTTTAAAATTTAAAATTATTAGATTTTTTTAAAATGATTACATAAATTAATTAAAATTTAAAATCTCTTAAAAATAAAAAATAAAAAAAGCAGTATGCAAATGTGTGAAATTGAAAAGTAGATCCAAACGACAAAGTTGTAAACAAAAAGAAAAAGAAGCCCAGACCTCGAAAGGCTACAGCCATTGTTCTTATTGACACTAATAGAAGGGGCTATTAGACCCAAAAAGAATGGCCCATCCACTTGGCGACCAAATGTAAAAATGCCAATACCAAATTGCCAATCTTCTTCATTTTTGTTACGAATTGGATTGGTGGGTCAGATTGGTTGAAGGAATTCTGAATCAGTCAAAAATCGATAAAAACACTTTTGAGCCAAGTTACGTCTTATTGAATCAATGGTTTGAACCATTTCATTTTATTATTTAAATATTTAATATTATAATTTGATAAAAAATAAGTTTATTTAAATAAAAGATAAATATAATTGGACGGTAGGAATATATTTTTGTTCTATAAAATATTTTATTCAAACACACGTTTTATTTTATATTATTTTTATGATTTATGAAATTTAAGTAAATATAATGAATGTTAAGAATGACAACAGATTATTATTATCATCGTACTCATATGATGATGTATATGATACTTTCTATGCTTGTACTTAATTACGACACCATACATATATTCATTAGGTAAAATTTTTTATTTTCATACCCGACATAATTCAAATTCGTTTTGAACATCTGATTATAATTAAAAATATATTAAAATAATTTGAAAATTACATTATATATCACAAATCTACAATACAATAATTTTATTTTTTAATTAACAAAACCAACAAATTAAAAATGTCTTTAAATAGTGTTAAGAATAATCGACTAAAAAAATTTCCTTTCCTAATTTCCTATTAAAATAATCAGATAAAAAATGTTTTTATTCCCGTAGCCAATTGGATGCAAAAGCGAATTATCCACAATCTTCGCGTGAGGCTGTCTTCCTAGATTGCTTGCAATAGACTTTATTTGACATAGTAATAATTTCGACTTACCATAAGTAGGTACCTTGAGAGTAAGTAAAGATTAAAATTAAAATTAAAAACCAAAGGATACTTTATCATCGAATCATCGACAATGGGACCTTGAAATTGGTCATTTTTTGTCCTTTAGTGCGCACACAAAAAAACAAAAATTGAAAAACGTCACTGCTCTTTCACGACCATGGATGAACTGTCCTCTTTACTTTCCAAAGTTTCTATAGACCTTCCACTTGGCGGCCGTCCACACGCTTTCCAGGCGGCTTATAATTCACTCTTTCTCTTTCCGGGACACGTGGCATTACGGTCGACGTCTTGGAGATCCGTGCTTGTCGTCTTTTTTTCCCTGCCCTTCCCTTCGGGGACCACACCTTGCTTGCTACCTAACGCCACGACAGACTAACGGCGCTGAGCCGTTAACGTGGACCTCGTGGCCGTTTTTGGTGGTGGTGAGTGGGTTTTGATTTTGTGGAAGGTGGGGGGACGGGTGGACACGTTTAGACGTCAAATCCAGTGGCAGAATATGTAATATTTAAGGGTAACGTCATATCATAAATAATCCTTAAATTATAATAAAATATTTATTAAAATATTTAAATTTTAAAAAAGTTTAATATAATATTTTATTATAAATTTATTAATTAATATAATATTTACTTTATATTTAAATAATTTTAAAAAATAACATATAATAGATAAATAATTTTGTAAATAATATATTAATTAATAAATTCATAATACAAATAATATATTAAATATTTTTAAATTTCATATATTACATTAAATATTTAATTATAATTAAAGAACCATTTATAATATTAGTTTAATGTTTAATTTATATATTAATTAATTAATTACTGATTAATTTTGGTTAAATTAATATCTGATTCATTGTTAATTATTTATTTATTTTTATGGACGAATCTGCTCCTTTGCGCATTTCTGTCTCATATTGTTTTTGGAATCATCGGATTTTGTTTGTTTTAATTCAAAATGCTACTAAATCTAAATTATTTTATTATACCAAATATAATATTGATATACGTCAGTTAAAACTAAAAAACACTTTAATTCATTTAGAAAAATTAATCATTTTATTAAAATAATTGTTAAAATCAACATCTTAGGCCCTTAATATTTCTAAACATATTATTTTAGTATTTTAAAAGGGATACTATCCTAAATAGCCTCTTAACTATTATATTTTGTTAGATTTTATATCTAAATTAAAAAAATTGCTAAATAAATACCTAAATTATGAAGTCATGCATCAATTTAATCCAAAAGTTACCTTCATTAGCTTAGATATTAACTTGGCTATTTTAGCCAATAAAAATTCGTTACGTGGATATAAAATAATATGTAATCATGACATAAATTGTTCATGTGATCAGAAAATCTGAAAAAAAAATTCCAAACAAATTAATTCTTCTTTAAAAATAAACCACCCTAACCTCCAAATCGGTAGTGTAAACAGTGCTTCAAGGCAACACGTTGTAGCTTTTCTCTGAATTTAGCGTTGATGTTGTGAGGCCAGATTTTAAAGATATTTCATAAATGATTGGAGACGGTGGGCAATGTTTTTGGATAAGAGATGAAGATTTTGTGAAAATGAAGGGTTTTGGCAATGTGGTGAAATGTAAAATGATTGATCTTAATCTCTGCTTGATGATCGGTGATGATAGAGCGATGAAAAGATGAGAAAAGCTATGCCGTCGGAAGAGTCCAAAACAACAATAGTGGGAAGTCGATCTTTTGCAAATGGCAGTAATTTTAAAGGCAGCGATCAAAAAAAGTTTTAAGATTGTTCATCTGAAAAACATTTCAACCTTTTTACTACATTTTTTTTTTTTGTAATTTTGAGGCATAAGTTTTATGAGATAAGGTATTTTTTTCCGTATTGACATGGTGAAGTTCGATGAGTTTTTATAAAATTTTTACTTTCCCTTATAAAAAATGGTTTATTCATGAGTTATTGAAACAGTAACCTCAATTTTTTTATTTTCTTTTCATTTTCGTCTTATTGAATCCTAGAGAAAAAAAGAAAGATAAATGATTTTTGGTTGTATCAATCAAACTATTGAGCATATAAATATCAAATGAGAAGTGTAGATAGAAAAGAAATAACTGTCATAACGTATAGATTCGTAGACTCATCGCTAGACGCAGATTTTAAAAGTTACCATCAATCTTTTTTTTATTTATGTATGATTAGCCATCTGATCGAATCTATCTTATTTAAATAGATGTATCAAGATTGACTTAGGGATCTTTAAATAGTAAATTTTAGTCCACAAAACTAGATTTTAGATTTGAAAGTGCAGTTACATGTGAAGAAGGTTATAGCACCCTCACAGTGCTCAACCAAATGATGGTACCAGTTTGGTTTCAAATTATCCAAGCCTTAATCATATTTATGATTTATCAAAATATTTAATATTAAAAATTGATCTTAAAATTACTCAAAATAGTTTGGTAGCAATTCAAGATAACTTTTTCATCTCAGGAGTATTAATGAATACTAGTATCCCACTTTAAAGAAGTTCCATCGTTGGATTCATTTAAATTTTATTTAATGAAATAATTAATAAAATCTTTTAATAGTTTAGTAAGATTTACTTTGATGTAGATCTTCCAATAGTTTGGTAAGATTTTATTGTAAAATTATTTATGAAATTTATTTTAAGAAAATTTATTAAACCTTCCAATAGTTTGATAAAATCTAATTCAATATTTAAATCCTCTAATAGTTTGGTAAAATTTATAATTTAAAATTTTTAAATCCATAATCATCCTCCAATAATTTGACAAAATGTATGAATTTAACAAAACATTTTCAAACTAAGTAAATAAATATAACAAAATACATAAAAAAATATAGTTTACAAAAATTTGACTAGGTTAAAGGCTTAGAACACGGCTCAACTTGATGGATTGGCTTGGCTCCTCCATCAAAGGAATTAGCTAAGCTTATGGCTTACGGCTTGTGGCTTGCTTAAATGACTTGGCCTCTCTTTTAATCAAACTGACGTCATTTTAATATATACATATAACAAAAAAAAAGAATAAGTTTTTCTTCATTTCCTTTTGGCTCTTTATCTCTCTTATTTTATATATTTTTAGAGCTTTTCTCTTAAAAAAAGAATAAAAGCTATCAGACACTCAACAACCAAAAAATTGATGAATAATCGCCATTGCCACCGCCATAGGTTACCGTCGACCATTGTTTGTCAGTCGTCCGTTGGTGGCCGAAATTGTTTTAA